CAGTCTTAGTGTCTTTGAAGTTTGAGGGTTTTGAATAAAATTAGGTTTTTCTAGGATGAAGTAATTTTGATACTTTTTTATTATTTAATGGAAAATCAGGATGGGTGTATTTGCTGGTTCTATATGCGGTGAGATGTGTCATTTGTCATGAATGTCGGGGATAATCCTATCATCACTCTGTTTCAAGCCAGGTGATTTTTTTAAATTTTTTTTTTTTTTTAATTAAAAAAAAAAAAAAAACAAAACAAAACAAAACAAAACAAAACAAACCTCAATGTGCTGATTCGACTATATATAGGAGGGTTAATATGTCCTAATGTTATATTTATTGAATTTTAGTTTGTTTGAATTATCTGAATTTATGTATGTTGAGCATGCGGTTGATTATTTGATAATTAAGGTGACAGTCACAATTGATAAAAGTGACAATTGCAGTTGGCGAGAGTTACACTGGTCATTTGAATGATCGTTCGGACGGTCGATCAATTTGCACAAATTCAAATTCAATGGGTGAATAATTTTTCTTTAACATGAGTCTGAGTTTAATTTCACTATTATTATTATTATTTTTTTCAGTTATTACTAATATTTCTATTTAAAGAGTGGTTGAGGTTTGTTTGTTTATGATGTGTTTGATAAACAGTTAAAAAAGTATTAAAAAATTAAAAGTTAAAAGTTAAAAGTTAAAAAATTATACCCAAAAAAAAAAAAATCAAAGATTCATTCTTATTCTTTCTATTATGTTTTATTTTTTTTAAAAAAAATCAAACAGTCTTTTCCAAACATTTGATTTTTTTCATCTTATATTTAGTTAAAAAGTCATTAATAAAACGACTTCCCAAATCAATCTTTAGTCTCATTCTGATTTTTTTAGTAATTTTTTTATTAATTTATTTTAAATCAAATAAAATTATAATTTCATAAATGCAGTTCTCATTTACAAAATACTCTCCCATGAACCTTAATTATAAAAAATAAAAAAAATAGTAAGACAAATTTTAAAAAAAAAAAATCCTTAAAAGCCAGCTTTTAAGTCAAAACAAAGGAGGCCCTTAATTTTATCAAATTTTGTTAAGACCTTCTAAAAATATGTTGAGCAGTTAAACTTGAAAAAGAGCTCTTTTTATTTATTTATTTTTTATTTGGTCCTAACGGGGACTGATTTTGTTTTATTAGTGTGTGGTTGGAGTTTCTTTAACATGGCAAGGTACTTTTTTTTTTTTGCATAACCCTCCAAATTAGGGGGTTCGCAGTCGGGATACAACTTGAACAGGCTTAATTCGAACAATTTGAATTCAAATTGAATTTTTTTAAAATTTAGATAAGATATTTTTAAATTCGGTATAGGTTTAGGTAAAAATTTAGAAGCTCGAATTAAATTTAGACAGACTTGAGTAAAGATATTAAACAACCCGAGTAACTCGAAATCCAAATTATACATATATAAATATATAAAAATATTAAATATATATATAAATTATTAGTCATTACATGATATTAAAGTAATTTAGATTATTAAATCATATTGAATATATATTATATATACAAATAACGTAAAATTTTATTTTTTTTAATTATTTTCACTTATAAAATGTAAAGACTACTATAGCGGTATCTCTCTTACATTATATAAATTATTTGTTTTGATGGTATAAATGATTTTCTATATATAAAAAAAATGTAAATAGAGTCAAATTTTAATAATTTAATAATGTAGTTGTAAAAAAAAAAAAATACAATTTGAGCAATTTGGCAACTCGGACAATTCGGGTTTAACTTAGGTCGGGCTTGGGCAGGCAACCTCGCGCTACAATTCAGGCTTGGGCGGGTCTGGGCAGATCTCAGCACAATTTGGGTTAGGCTTGGACAACCTCCCAACCCGACCAAACCCGCCCAAGTTGCACTCCTAGTTGGCGGTTCAATTTTGGATGGTTTGCAAATCAGTTTGGACTAGCTCGCATGTATGCAGTTTGGAAAAAAATTAACCTACAACCGCTTATAATGCGGGTTACGGTTTGTGCGAATAGAGTTAATAGATGTGCGTGCGGGTTGCGGATTAACCTTTTTTCAATTTTCAGATTCAATTTCAATTTCCAAATTCAATATAATATAAGATTGATTTCAATTTCAATTTCAATTTCAAAAGTAATTAACAGATTCAATTTTCTCTTCATGAAGAAGTAGATTCAATTTCCTGTAATGTTCACAAAGCAAACAAAAACAGAAACATTCAAAAATAATGTTCTCAAACAATATTCTCTACAACATTTCTTTTTGTATCATGAAATTAGGGTTCGTTTGTTGGCCAAAAACATCTAGTAGTGAAATCAACGGTCCAGGTTTTTCTATAAAAATAAAAAATAATAATTTAAGTGAGGGCTGGTTCTTGCGGGTGCAGGTTAAACCCGCAACCTGCAATTATGCCATATTTCAAACTGCATCCGCCGGTATTGTCTCTGCTAAACCGTTCATTTGTATGCGGATCGATTCGAGTTGGGTGGTTCGGATAACCTTATGCCCAACCCTACTCCAAACTCGAATGATATCAAGACACAATGGGTGTGTTTATTTGGACGAATTAGATAAGGGGAGGATTGTAATTTATCAGACTGTTAGTCTTGAGATACATTGTCTCTAGATTATTTGGTTAGAAATGATATATATCATATTAGTGGTATGGATTGGACTATTCTATTGAATTCTATATTTATTTATTTATGAGATTAAATTTTTGGATTGGACTATTCTACTAAATCTTATGTATATCCTATTTTATTTAATTTTTTTTACTAAAACTTTTTAAAAAATTAAATAAATAGAATATTAATAAAAATAACATAACTTTATTAAAAGTTTTAGTTAAAATTTTTAAATTTTATTTTACATTACTAAGTATAATTTATTTTATTTTATTTTATTTCAACAAAATTGGACACAAAAGCACTTACCGATGGTCCCCCGATCAACCAGACAGTCAATTGGCCAAAAATTGTAATCCCATGGATGAGCTATCTTGGGTTTTCTATCCTACACTCCCTTGGGATAGAACAATCCAATGTATTTGGGATAATAGTCCGGTATAAAATTTCTAAACCAAACAATGGACTATTCCATCCATTGATCATGGAGTCTAAACTAAACAATGGACTATTCCATCCACTAAACATGGAGTCCTATCCCATACCTTATCCCTCCAAACAAATGTGCTCAATGGGTGTGGCTTGCATCCAGTCTGTAATCGAATTAAACCGTATTATTAGGCCCTGTGGGCTCATCACAGAGTCTATATCGATGATCTGAACTGTTTAATGTGTAATATTCGTCGAATACTTTATCCCTACAAAGCATCACATTAATTGAATATCGATAATCACTTGATCAGATTAGGGGTGGGCGTGGGTCGGTTGCAGCCACGAAACCTCTAATCCGTCATCCGTTTGCCAAATTGGCGGATTGAAGAAAATCAATCTGCATCCATCTGCCAATCCAGCGGATGTGGATTGAGCGAATTAGTAGATTGACAGATGGATGCGAATTGGTTTGGCGGTTAAATTTTTTTATAAATTTTTAACTTAATTCAAATTGCGTACTTCCTTAAAAAAAAATAATAATAATAATATTACAGTTAATGACTTAAAAAATATTACAATCATTGCATGCCTCATTTAAAGAATGAAAGTTTGAAATTTTAGAATATTACAATCATTGCATATCTCATCCACATATTATAGTCACAGCATGCCTCATCTACATAAAATATTACAATCTATGGCTATTAAAATATAAAAACAATTCAAACTACTAAAACCATAAACAAAGTAGTAGTAGAGATTATATGTCTCTGTATTGTTACATTTATATCTGTTTTTGAAAACAAAAACCAACCAATATATATCATCTTTTTATTTATTATTTTTAGAGTTAAATTTAAAAAACAAAAAATATAGATAAATAATATATTTATTTTTTTCAATTCAAAATATATATTCAAGTTGAAAACTCATTTTCAACAGAATATTTAAATTCTTTTTCAATTGGAAAAACAAACAGAATATCTAAACAAATTAAAAATATAAAGTCTTACAAATTATTAGGAATACTCGCGGTTTGATGGTTCGGTTGCGGCCAAAGGAATTTCAAATTCGCCATCCGTCTAAAATTAGGCAGATTGAAAAAAAATCAATCTGCAACCGTTCGTTCGTTATCATACATCCGTCTAAAATGAGGCGGATCGGATCGGTTCAGTTCGGTTTGGACGGATCGATATATCTGTTCTCACCCTTGGATCAGATTACATTTCTGTCAACGTTCAGTTTGATTTTAAAAAATATATATTAACAAAAATGTGATATGATCAAATAGCAATCGACATCTGATCAACATAATTCTTTACAAAGATAAATTACTTGACGAATCCAACGCATTAAACCGTTTGAATTATTAATGTGAGTTTCGTGATGGACACACAGAGGCCCAATACTACGATTGAGCAGCCTGGAGACCAGCCTCATCCGCCGAAGAGGATTATATGTCAATGACGTGTTTCAAATTTCAAAATCATACTTTTTTTAATTTTTTCCTTTTTCAAGATGTCCTTTACAGAAAGAAAGAAAAAAAAAATAGTTAATGTTATAATTATTATTTTTAATAAACACACTTTGGTACCCACTAATATCTTGATGAAATTAATTTCTTTGAAATTAAATAATCAGGTAACAAGAGCATACTTAAAAATAAACTTTTTTTTTTTAACTAATGTAGTTTTCAAATGTTTGACTGATATCATAATTTTTTCATTCATATATAACTATGAATTACTGTTGAAAAAAAATCATGTAACATGTGAATTAAAATTTAAAAGTATTTAATATATTTAAAATTACATGAATTACAATTTTCAAAATATTTAATATTTTAAAATTATGAGACTTATTGTATTTTTTTAAAATTCAAAAAAAAGTTTTTAGCTTTAATATTAATCTGTACCTACGAAGAGAAGAACCGATAAAGATTAACCATTTCATTATTCATAATCTTCAATTATAAATAACATACAAGTTGTCAAAAAATTGAACAAAGCGAAATTTCTCGCTTATACTAAAATAATAACCAAAAATAGAAATATAAGAAAATAAAAAAAAAAAAAAATCAGTTCTTTTTGCCTTCCTCACCATCATCAACCAAGTAAGCCTTCTTTCTCCTGTCAGCGGTGGCTAACAGACAAATCACAAGAAAACACGCGGCATAAATCCCATGAACCATGCAATTGGTCTTGGGCGGTTGGTGCAACACAACATTATGAAACACTGTCACGTAATAATGCACCCCAACAGCAAAGCCTACGAAGGTCTGGCCCAGGCCCAACATCTTGGAGCCCGGCCCGGAATCAGTGGAGAACACGAGAATCAGGTACATCAATAGCAGCAGAAGGTAAAACACATAGCCAAGAGTCTGCAAGACTTGCAAGCAAACGTAGGTGGTCTGCGAAGTAGCGTAGAAAAACCTGAGGGGCTCGAGCCCGGTCACTAGGGAAGACAAGCAGAGGATAGAGAAGTAGATGGAGAGGTAGGCTTGGGTGAAGATGAGGAGTTTTTGGAGAGAGAAATAGGCTTTGATGCGATTGAAGATGAGAGAGACTATAACCAGAGGGATCAAAATGAAAGCAAAACAGACAATTGAAGCAATGGTTGGTGCATATTTTGTACCCACAAAGGGTTTGAACCCTTGTGTGATCTGTTTATTGGCTTTGTTGAGATAAACTTTGGAAGTGGTTGATATTTTCTCCAAATCTGGCAACAGTGTTTCTTGGAATTTGAAGGGTAGGCCTGTGAAATCTGTAACCGCATCATCATTTTCATGATCTTCTCGTTCAATCCAGCTCTGTTGTGTTGGTTTTTCGGTCTTTGGTGACTTGGGTTTTTTCTCTGCGACCTTGTTCTTATCTGGGTTCTTGGATTTGAGCTCAGTGAGGTTCTTGTCTAATTGGGTTTTGGATTGTTTTGTGGTAACGGGTTTGATTGTTTTGTTCTTGGGTGAGCTTGGTTTGATTAGATCTGAGGATTTCTCGGTCAGATTTGAACTGAGTTTGTTTGAATTTGAAGTTTTTGAACTGGGTTTGGTTGAATTTGATGTTTTTGAAGTGGAATTGAGCTTCTTGAGCTGGGTTTTGATTTTGATGGTAGTGGTGGTTTCTTTGGTTGAATCGTCGGTGGGTTTGATGAGTTTGGTTTTGTTCTTGGATAAACCTGTGGGGGCTTTGATCAATTTGGTTTGGTTTTTGGTGGACAAAGTGGTGGGTTTTTTCTTCTTGATTGGTTGATCTTCATCTTGAAGCTCTAACATTCTTCTAGTACCTTGGAACTCATTGCTCAGAGGTTGAGTTGGTTCAGTGTAGACACAAATGAGGAGGATAGAAGTGAAGAAAAACAAAACAAGATAAAGAACAAGTACCTGTCTGAAAAGTGGAGCCATGTGTCGTGAAATCAAAGCCTTGCTAGGAAGATCTAATGGGGCTTCAAATATTTAGAGTCCCTCCCCAATTGAATCTAGAGTTTAGAGAGAGAGAGAGAGAGAGAGAGAGGGAGAGAGTGTGTGTGTGTGTGTGTGTGAGTGGAAAGGCATTAAAGAGATATATAGAGAGTTGTGTAAGTGCGTGAAAGCAGACTTAAATGGGGAAGTTGAAGAAGATGATGAGATGAGATCAGTCACATGGTGCCACTATAGACTAGACAACCCCTACGCGGTTTTAATGTATTTTTGTCCCCCCCCCCCCTCTCTCTCTTCTCTCTCTCTCTCTCTTCTCACACACACACACACACACACACACAAACACACACACATCTTTGGGCACTTTTGTAATATTCAACCATTTTTCCAGATTCCACTGAAGAGACAATCAAATATATGCTGATTAACCTAATTTTCATGATTTAATTCGTCAATTTGGTTTAAAAAAAATATGTAACATTACGAGATCATCAAGAGGTCGAAGATGACTTCACAGGTCACTTTTGATCAGCTTCATAAAGGACGCTTTCAAAAAAAAAAATAAAAATTGTTCAACTTACGCATATTTCAATTAATTTGTGATTCATAAAAGATGCTTTGATTGATTTATAATTTTTGATGTTACATACGGATTTCAAAATTATCATAAGACACGCTTTCAAAAAAAAAAAAAAATTGTTCAACTTACACATATTTCAATTAATTTGTGATTCATAAAAGATGCTTTGATTGATTTATAATTTTTGATGTTACATACGGAATTCAAAATTATCATAAGACGGAACTTGGATAACATTAAATTTAAATTTAACCATATATGAAGTGTATATAAGGCTTTTTTTGCAAAATTTTGAAGAAATTAGTTAATAGCGGAAATTTAAAAAAATATTTATAGAGTAATAGTAAACTTTACAAATAATAAAATATAAAATGATAAACTTTTTCTTCAACGGATAATTAACTTTTACATTGATATGTGTTTCCCTTCAAATTTTTTGTGTTGGTAACTTTTAAGGAAAATTGCACAATAGTGTATTTTTTTAAAAATTAAGTATTGATTAATGATAAATTTCATTAATATTAATAATTAAAATAATAATTTTGTCAATAAAATTGTAATTATTTTTTTAAAAGTACACACAATGTTTGGTAATCTAGAAGAGAAAAAAAAATGATTATGAAAATTATGAGAGAAAAGAAAAGAAAATATTGTGATTTTCCTCCCTTTTGTTTGGGTAAACAGAAAAAAAAAAAGAAAAAAAATATATTAATTTCTTTTATATCTTGTTTGATTAAACTATATAAAAGAAAAGAAAAAACAAATTATATCATGTTATATTATCTGAGAGGGTAATTTGTGAACAAATTGGGCCGAGTTAAGGAAGGGCCTTCTTTGTAAGTTTGGCCGCACAAATGGGCCCGGATAAAGGGATGACATAGCCTGGTCTTTGAGCTAACGAGTTGGACCAGGTGAAGTTGGACCGAGCTAAGCATCGCGCATAGTAGCGCCGAGCTAAGGCCGTCATTGGACATGTTTCGATCAGTCTTAAGTAAAATAGCTTGGTTGGAGTATGCCCAACTGGGGTACAAGCGGTGAAGGGATGACCCGAGCTAGGCAGAGCTCGGTCTAACCTGCTACTTGAGCATGGCAATACTAGCTCGGTCGTTTGGTCATACCACCGAACTAGAACCATCTCACTTGGTTTATGCAGTGAGGGGGGTGTGAAAGGATAAGTATTATCTTTCAGGAGTGTGATTCCCAAGAAGACTCTACAGGGAGGAATAAGAGTCCTACTAAGATTGTGCTATGCGGAACCTATAAAAGCTCACAACATCACCTATGTAAAGGTAACACAACTTTGATTCCCGAATACACAGAGTTTTTGTCTATTTGTCTATTTTGCTGACTTAGGCATTGGAGAGGTATCCATCACACACCCGCCGGCTAGCTCACGTTTGTGTTTTCAGGAAGTAAAGTGACGACATTCAGAGGAGCACAAACTTGATCAACAGGATTATACAATAAGATTATTTCGCGCTCGTACAATTAGCGTCGTCTGTCGGAAATTCCAGAAAGAACAAAACCTCTTGATCAAGTTTTCCTCTTTAGATTGGAAGCAATGGCGCACAATAAAGACTTGTCGCAATCAGCTATTGATGGACAAACCTTTAAGGGGGTGGGAGGAACGAAGGTTTGCCTTTTGTCCCTCCCATGGCCGATTTAGAACCCCAGCGACAGAACCCCCGGAGGGATGCAAGGGGGAGGCGGGCTAACAGCCCCTGTCGCTCTCAAAGTCCTGAAAGACAGAGGTGGAGAATGGACCCTCAAGTTCTGGAGGATCGCGTGAAGGAGCATGACGAGATAATAAGGAGGATGGTGGCAGACATGGAGTCAATGAAGCGCCAGATAAAAGGAAAATAGGTGGCGACAGGAGAGGGGTGCAAAGGTGACACACCCCCTCGCCACTCGGAGGATCGTGATAGGCGTACCACACTATCGCAAGTAAAAAGCAGGAGCCTTAGAACGGGCGACACTCAATTGAGGACTTCCAGAACTTGTTACTCCAGGTCTGAGAGAACGAGAACTGAGAGGTCATATACTGAGGAAAGCACCTATCGGCCCTCGCACACGCACCAGATGTCATCTAGGCACACGGAGTTGCCTAGATCATTTGACTTACGAACTATGCTTGAAGAAAGGGCGCGATTGAAGGAGGATACCAGGGCACGCGACCCACGCAGAGTTTCAGCCCTTCAGCGGTTGGGCCCTCGGATACATGAGAGCGTCGAGTTAGGAATGCCAATGCCGCGCCTTGCATACGAACCAACAGACAAAGCATTAGCAAGGTTACAGAGCTCGCCATTCATTCCGACAGTTGAGAACGCGCCACTACCTTCAAGCTTCCACCAGCCCAAATTCACCACTTACGAGGGGAAGACAGATCCCTACATGCACTTAAGCCACTTTCGCCAGGTTATGGCAGTATACCGGCAGAACGAGGCCTTAATGTGTATCCTGTTCCCATCCAGCCTTGGCGACCTAGGTTTAACTTGGTTCAAAAGGCTACCAGAAGACAGCATCGCCTCATGGGCACAGTTGGCAAAGGCGTTCGTGACCAGATTCAGGACGAACACCAAGACACAAGTGGAGATTGACCAGCTACTCTCCATTGATATGTGCGACAAGGAGACATTGAGATCCTACAACAGTCGTTACTGGGAAACCTTCAACCAGATTGGGGATTGCCCTACGAACCTCTCCATTACACAATACAAACGGGGCCTACCAGTCGACAACAAATTGAGGGATTCAATTACTATAACGCCACCCCTCACGATGGAGGCCTTAATGGAGAGAGTGCACCAACATATTCGCGTGGAGGAGGATGGTGCCCGCGTTAAAGCGAAATCTGGCACAACAGCAATACTAGATAAAAAGACTTCAGCAAAAGTCAACACGGTAGAACAACCAAGCAGGAATGGGCGAGGCAGGTGGCCTAACAGAGAGGACCCAGAAAAAAAGAAGTTAAGAGTTCACACTGCCATTACCACAGTGTTCAAAAAACCAATCTACCGAATCCTAAGTGGGATACGAGACGAACCTTTCGTCCGATGGCCAGCTAAGTTGGGAGAAACACAAAAGGACTATGACAAGAGGTCCCGGTGCACCTTCCATGATGAAAAGGGGCACCGCACTGAAAATTGCACGCCGTTGAGGCAGCATTTGGAGGAGTTAGTGACGGTTGGGCACCTGGACCAGTACATAGAAGGAGGAACACAGCCAGCCCCCCAGAACCACAACATCCCAAACGGAATGCTGGTCGACGCTCCACCTCAAGGCGTAATTAACGTAATTCATGGAGTATTTGAACCTGAGCGGGTATGTGAGCTTAGGGGAATGCTCAAAAAGGCTGAGCACTTAAGGGAGGTATTAAGTGCACAACCTACTAACAAAAAAAGGAGAACAGAGGCCACAAATGTCATATCTTTTTCAGACAAGGATTTAGCAAGGATATATTGCCCTCACAATGATGCACTGGTTGTCACTCTACGCGTCAAGAATTTCGATGTCAAACGAATTTTGATCGACCAAGAAAGCTCATGTGAGATAATGTATTACGAAACCTTCAAACAACTGAAACTGGACGACAAAGACATGACACCTGCAACATTTCCCCTAATCGGATTCAACTCAATGCCAGAGTGGCCAGTGGGCAAGATAATCCTCCCAGTTAATGCAGGAACCATGACGAAATAGGTGGAGTTCTTGGTATTGAAAGTCCCTTCCATTTACAATATAATTTTGGGGAGGACATGGTTGCATGCCATGCAATCGGTAGCGTCAACCTACCATCAAGTATTGCAGTTCCCCAACGAAGCCAGAGTAATTGAAGAGGTCTTTGGAGACCAAATCATGTCAAAACAATGCTTCATTACAGTAAATGGCAGCCGCGCTGCAAAAGGGTATGTGCAGATAGTGGAAGAACCTGAGAGCAATGAACTGTTTGCGGATGTTGGCAAGGCAGCTAAACAAAAGGCAGTGAAAGACTTGGTACAGGTAAGAATAGTTGAAAAGACCCAGAAAAATTCTTTTTGCTCAGCTCGTCTTTGTCCAGCACTGAGAGAATAGAGGTCATGAAATTCTTAACCTCTAACATCGAAGTGTTTGCCTGGACACCGTATGACATGCCTGGCATTGACCTAAACTTCATCTGTCACCAACTGAACGTCCACCCAACTGCCAGACCGGTTATACAGCGCACTCGCAGATCAACACTCCACCATGCTGAGATAGGGGCGGAAGAAATGAAAAACTTTCTAGAGGTAGGAGCTATCAGAGAAGTGCACTACCCCAGGTGGATCTCCAATACCGTAGTAGTGCCCAAAAAGAACAAAAAATGGTGTGTCTGCGTGGACTACAAAACAGTCAACAAGACATGCCCAAAGGACAGCTTTCCCCTACCACGGATAGACCAACTGGTAGACCTGACGGCACGACACAATCGACTTAGCTTCCTCAATGCGTACAGAGGTTACCATCAGATCCCTATGTATGAACCAGACCAGAAGGTAACATCCTTTACAACGCCAAGAGGATTGTATTGTTACAAGGTCATGCCCTTTGGCCTAAAGAATGCAGGGGCAACATTCTAACGAATGGTCACCAAGATGTTTGAGCCATTGTTAGGCAGAACAATG